TTTGTTTGCATTTGGGGGACAGCTTTCACTAAGGCTTTCCTTGCCACATACCCCCGATAACCCCTTTAGAGGTCACTGATACCTGACATGAGTTTTTCAGTCCTGAGGCTTGAACTCAGGGCCTGTGCACTATCCTTAAGCTCTTTTTTCCCCCCCTCAAGGCCAGAGTTCTACCACTTGAGCCACAGCTCTACTTCCAGCTTCTTTGGTAGTTGATTAGAGACAAGAGTCTCATCCACCAACCCAGGAAGTACCTTCATCCCTCACCCAAGGGCTATGGAAGCTGTCTTTGAGAAGTGTTAAGAGCAGTTGGTGGCCCTCCAGAGTGCTCCCAAAAGTCACTACGTGAAACAGCTGATTCAAGGTGCCAGGTAAACAGAGCACAGGGTCTCATGATCTGCCATTTTATCCCCCAAAAGGTTTGGACTCATGTACCCAAAGAGTTTCATCAGCACTGTATCAGGACTAGTGATTCTGACTGAAAAATTTCTGAGTTGAAATCTATTAAGCAAACCTAATCCCTTGATCTATTAAAAATATATATATGTATATATATATGTAAACACAAAATGAACTAGTATCAATTTTTTCCATTTTGTTCTTATTGAGATGATTTTTCAAATAAATCAATTCTTTTCCATATAAAGTCTACCCAAAAGATCTATTGCTGTTAAAAAGTTATTGATTTGTCTGTATCACTTTGTACATATCACAGCAATGATTTTTACCTTCCTGGTCTGTACTTCCTAACATCCAACGACTGCTGAGCAGATTTCACTCCTTAAATTGTCCGTCAAGTTTTCTAGACACAGTTTTATTTGACAATAGTAATGATGGTCCATAACATTTCTTATGAAACAGATAAATGGCCAAGTGTTCAGGGGCCACTGGTGCCACTCTGGGTACAGAAGCATTCACACCTTCCCCAGTATCTTGCATGTGGCTGCCTGCTAATCTGTATGGAAAGCTGTGGCTGGATGACTTAAAGTTTTTAAATTCTTTTTCTCAATGATACTGCTTTAAACTATAGGGCAAACACATAAGACATAGGACCTGTTTAACGACAGATGGCATTGTCCCCATTCTCTCCTACCCCTTTCCTGAAAGATTCTCAGCACTCTGAACATCCCAACTAGAAAGTCTTGGAAATGTCCCAACTCTGGAAACTAGGAAATCAAAACCTTTTTTTTTTTTGCCAGTCTTGGGGCTTGAACTCAGGGCCTGGGCACTGTCCCTGAGCTTCTTTTGCTCAAGGCTAACACTATGCCACTTCAGCCACAGTACTACTTCCAGCTTTTTCTGCTTATGTAGTACTGAGGAATCGAACCCAGGGCTTCATGCGTACTAGGCAAGCACTCAACCACTAAGCTACATTCTCAGCCCAGGAAGCCCAAACTTTGAGAAAAGGCCTTTGTAACAAGTCTGTCAGTAACGAAACCAGAAGACTGAAAAGAAACTTGGGGATGAGGAGGGGTGTTCTATCCTTGACTGTCTGGCATAAATGGATCTAAAATTCACCAGTCTGATTATTTTCTAGCTCAGTTTAGAAATGTACAGATCCAGTGCCACACAAGATGGAGAGATGAAAAATGAACTTTCTCTTGGAAGAATGAAGTTGCTCTTGGGTCTAACCTAAGTCCCTGTGCATTCACACCATTTTTCCTTTCTTCTACTCAACTCAAAAGATTTTGTAAAACTATAAATGGCTACAGGATATCTGTTTGTTGAATTTGCTCAGTTATCACCATCTATATAGTCAAGGGCTGGGCTGTAGAGTACAGATAGAGGTGTTCAGAGAAAACCCTTCAGCCCCAGCTCAAGCATGTTTTGTTCCCTGTAAGATATTCAGGTAATCTGTTACCAGAAAAAGCCTTCCACTTTTTGTGCTGTGTGTGTACCTTTCCTGATAACTCAGAACAAATTCAAGGTTATCCCTATAATAGCACCATTCACTCCCTTGAATTCCCAGGGGATTCCTTGAGTGCAGAAGGGGTTGAGTTACAGCTCAGGTGCTGGCAAGTAGGCCACCCAAAAGGAGGTCTAGAAAGGAAATGTCACCGCAGGGTGCTGGTGGCTCACAACTGTAATTCTGGCTACTCAGGAGGCTGAGATCTGAGGATTGTGGTTTGAAACCAGCCCAGCCCGAAAAGTCTAAGAGACTATTAATTACAGAAAATGCTGAAGTAAAGCTGAGGCTCAAATGACAAAACACTATCACTGAAAAACAGAAGGTCAAGTCCTGAGTTCAAGCTTTAGGACTAGCGTGCATCCGTGTGTGCATCCAGGCCTGGCCCAGAATTTCCCAGCTCCCAGATAAAGACCTTTTCATGAGAGAAGAAAAAGTTGGCTCTGAGAGAGAGCCGCTACCTCTGGAGAGGAAACAGCACCATGGCAGTGGAGAGCTGCATTTGAACTGAAGTAGGGTCAGTGACTCTGGGTGCCTTTGTTTTGCACTCCTTTGTAAAATCTCACACAAAATAATTCAGGGGCCATTTATTAAGTGAATGAGAAATGGCAAGATGATGGCAGGATGGTACCCACCCCTGCACCACAGGTTCCTCACCTGAAATGGGAGCAGGGAGGACTCAGAGGGAGAATTAACCTTACTCTTTCTTGCAAAGGTTACATGAGATAAGAAACATGAAAGCACTTTTTTTCTGGTTGGTCGTGGGGATTGAACTCTGGGCCTGGGTGCTATTCCTCAGCTCTTCAGCTCAAGGCTAGTGCTCTACCACTTGAGCTACAGCGCCACTTCCAGTTTTCTGGTGGTTAATTGGAGGTAAGAGTCTTATGGACTTTCTAAGACCAGGCTGGCTTTGAACCATGATCCTCAGATCTCAGCCTCCTGAGTAGCTAGGATTACAGGCATGAGCTACCGGTGCCTGCCGAAAGCACTCTTGAAATGAAGGGAACTGAATAAAGTGGTAGCACACTCATGGAGTTTGGGAGTAGTCACCGGGGAGGAAGGAACACAAGGGGGACAGGAAGGACTTGAGTGGACAAAAGATTAGGGGGATACACTGATAGGACTGTGAGCATGAGCACACCAGTCTCAGGCCATGCAAATTGTGTTGGGGGTAGCCAGCAGCCATAGTTGCTGGAATCCATGCTGCTTCTTTGAACATGGTGCATGACTAACTGCATGGCTAGATGCATGGCAAGCATTTCCTCTTACCAATGATAATAAAAGATAGTCTGCATTTACTGACTCATTTGTATGGACAGCCATTGTGTTTACACACCTTCTCAATGATCACAATATAAATACAAGGTAGGAATTATCATAAGCATTATAAAGACACTAAGCCCTCAAAAGCTCAGGTAAGTTGTTTAAGTTAAGGCAGCTAAGGGAGCCAGAGATAGCACAGGACCTCAGGGAGCCTGAACCATGTTGTGCTACCAGCTGACAAGCACAGGAAGCACATGGCAAAAAGATCACACATACAGGTCTTTTAAAAATACATATATTTGGGGCCGGGAAGGTGGCTCAGTGGTAGAGTGCTTACCTTTCATGCATGAGGCCTTGGGTTCGATTCCTCAGCACCACATAAGCAGTAAAAGCAGGAAGTGGCACTGTAGCTCAAATGGTAGAGCACTAGCCTTGAGCTGAAGAGCTGAGGGACAGTACCCAGGCCCAGAGTTCAGGCCCATGACTGACAAAAACAAGAAACAACCAAAACCATATATTTGCTGGTTCATGCCTATTATCCAAGCTGTTTAGGAGGCAGAGTCCTGAGCATCCAGGTTCAAAGCTAGCCCAGGCAATAAAGTCCATGAAACTCTTACCTCCAATTAACCGTCAAATAAAGCTTGAAGTAGAGCTGTGGCTCAAGTGGAAGGGTGCTAGTCTTGAGCAAAAAGCAAAGAGACAGTGCCCAGGCTAAGTTCAAACCCCAGGACTGGCATATGCACTCTCATGTACACACATACACACACATATACAAAACTCATTTCAAATCTTTTATCTTGTCCCAGCATTTCTTCCACAGAACCCATGTTTCTAGATAATGCCATAGGAAACAAAGGATAGTTTTCTTCCACTTAAGCAAGTGACAAGAGTTCTACAGCACTAGTTATAAGGTGCTGAGTTTGCCAATGACCTTTAAATGGAAAATAAAGAGCAAGAGGTAAGATGCCCCCACCTTTCCTGAAAGGTCTTCCGATGATCAGGAAGGATTCTATTATTCTACTGTCCCCATCTTTTCTTGAAATTGTTCAGTCTCTATTGAGCATCAAAAGCCCTATGGAATTATAAATACTATGATATTTATGAACTGCCTGAAGGTTAACATTTCTAGGAAATTTTATTTCCAGTTAGGAAAGAAGTTTGAACCAAATGAAAGTCAGCTCTGCAAACAAGATAAACCAAAGGTCTGCAGAATCATCCTGACCACTTGATTTCCTCAGAGGCCTCAGCAGTACTTGAGCAGAGTGGATAAGAGAAGCACGATTTTCTTTCCAGAGAGAGCCACAGGTGGTTTCTCAAGACTCCCCCCAACTGCATCTGAGGCCAGATTCTGCCCCACATACCCAGAGGTAGGGGGAGCAGTCACCTGTGCTCTTGGGATTTTCCTCAGTCCCTTCTCTTGTTGTTGGTACAGCTGTTTCTACAGCCAGAGCCTAGCTGCTTCCTGGCTTCTAATAAGAACCTTGCTTAAGTGGAGAATCCTTTATTATTCAGCCGCCTACCAGAGACCAGAGAAGACAAGACAAGCCTGCACCCACTACCAGTGACACCTTTCAGATCCAGGTCGAAGAGGACCACTCACAAGGTCAGGAAGGTGGGGGCAATCAAGTTATAAGAACCCTCCCAATCCACTACACCATTTATCAATGTAAGTTAAAAGAGTTTTCATACTCTGGGGACAGGTGCATGCCTCCATTGCTAAAACTGCAAGACTTCTCCTTTAAGACCTGATTTCCTGGGCAGGACCATGTACAAGCTTCCTGTTGTTCCAGTTTCTCTCCTGGCCCTCCCTATCCCTCCCTCCCAATGCTAATGCGCGCTATTTTAACGGCTGCCCCAGTTCTGCTGTCTCTGGGATCACCTAAAGGTGGAGGAATCAAAAGAAGTAACCAGGTAAAGGGAACCTCCCACCTAGGTGGGGCCTCCAGTCTAGGGGGAGAAAAGTGATGTAGCCAGGAACCTGGTGAGCACCACCCTGGTTCCATCCCTACCAGTCAGTTCCTAGCTGCTTGCCTCGGTCTTTCACTGATACGACCAATAAGACTTGACTCAATGAATTTACTAAATGGAATTTATTATAGATAGTCTTAGAGCCCGACATTTCTGTGCTGCAGGTATCATAGTCTTCACTCACAAAGACACAGGTATTTTCTGTCTACCTTATCTGACTCTCTCAACTAAAAATCAATATACAATTTACCAACTGCTGAGCTAAGGTATGAGTCAGTGTCTCCTGGAGAATATTCTGAACCAGGTTAAAGTCTAGGAGCTCTGGTTTTTAACTTCTTTAAAACCTCTTTTCTGGACAAGGCTCCTGCAGTTCTATGACTGGGTGATAGGAATCATAGGTATTTGGTTAGATACTTTTCTGGGTGTGTCTGTAAGGGTGTTTCCAGAAAAATTACCACCAGGATTAGTATTCCATATAAAGCACACTGCCCTCCCCAAAGTAGGTAGACTAAGTGAGATTTCATTCTTCCTCTGGTGCTTGAACTCCGAGACTAGACTTCTCCTACCCTTGGACTAAGAAAAATGCTATCATCAATCCTAATCAGGCTTTCACTCGGACTGGTTAGTATTTCACTGGCTTTCCTATCACACATTGTGGGATTTCTCAGCCTCCATAATCATGTGTGTTAATTCCTTACAATCAACTACAACACATTTATATACATGCATGGAGTTTTGTTTCTTTTCTTTTTCTTTGTGGTGGTACTCTGGCTTGAACTCAGGTGCCTTCCATGGTCTTCACTACGCTTTTTCTCTCCCAGCTGGTGATCTGCCACTTGAGTCATATCTTAGTCGGGAGTTTGTTTCTTTAAGAATTCTGAGGGGCTGGGAAGGTGGCTCAGTGGTAGAGCGCTTGCCTTGCTTGCTCGAGGCCCTGGGTTCGATTCCTCAGCACCACATAAGCAAAAAGAAAAAAGCCGGAAGTGGCGCTGTGGCTCAAGTGGTAGAGCACTAGCCTTGA